GCATTATATAGTACTAACATACGAATTTAATTTTTATAGGATGAAATTGTTCAAGTCAAACAAGCAAACCCTTCACTTTCTGACATTGAGATAGTTGAGAAAATCTGGGGGAAACAATCTCATGGTCACATCATTGTATTTGGTGGCGGGACTACTTTGAAAGATTTGAGAGGACCGCTCCCTAGTCGATCTGATCTGGAAGCACGGGTTATAGAAGAAAAGAGAAAGAACCAGATGCTTCAACAACGCTTAGATGAGCAGGAGCAACAACAACAAAGGATGTCTGAGTTGGAGTCACAAGTGAAAGCTATGCAAGAACTTTTTTTTAGGCAATCACCTTCATTAACTCCTCAAACTCGAGAACATGTGCAGGACTAGGTAATTATTTTTTGTAAAATCTCTTATATACTTTTATGATTGACTACTTGCACTAAAAAAATATGATTTTTACTTAATAAGATAATATTTGCTTCATTAATATTTCTTAATTATGTGATTTTTTAAAATTTTTCAGGCTATCCATGCAAGATTAGGAGGGGGGTAGCTCGAGTCTTCTTTAATTTGACGATGATTAGAGATGAAAGAATGTGTCTTCCACAAACTTTTATTTTAATTAGTTTTAGATAGTTTCATGTATTTTTCTTTGGAACGATTAGGATATTAACTCTTGTTATTAGTATTGAATATTTGAGGATGGTGTAATTTTATTTATTGATGTTATTAATGAATGGAATTTTTTGTTTTCCCTCTTATTCATTATTGGGTATTTTTAATATATTTTTGTTGTGAATCTTAATGTCAGATTGAGAATAATATGATAGTTGCCTATGAATGAAAAAATTATTATTGATGTATATTAGAAATTTGTAGTCTATAATGACGGTTTTATAAACCGTATTTTGTTCATCAACGAAGGGAAAGCACCGTCGTTGATGGGTTACTAATTACCCATTATGAGGACTTTTACGACGGTATCCAACCGTCATTAATTAGTCTTCAACGATGGGAAAATATCCCCGTAACTAATGGTAACGACGGGAAAATATCCCCGTAACTAACGGTAACGACGGGAAAATATCCCGTCACTGATGGTAACGACGGGAAAATATCCCCGTTACTGATGGTAACGACGGTGATAATTACCGTAGTAAATATTAATGACGGTAATATGTTCCGTCGTTATAGACTCTATAACGACGGGTAGTATATCCCTTCGTGACCCTTTAGCGAAGAGGGCTTCAACAACGGGTGACGAAGGGATTTTTCCCCGTCGTTAGCATACAATAACGAAGGTTTTCAGCTCTTTAACGAAGGGAAATCCCTTCGTTAAAGACGTAATTTCTTGTAGTGGAATAAAAGTCAATTCTTTTGTATTATATGTATAAAGACTAGTTCTTTCCATGTGAAAAGGTTTGAGAATGAATTTACAGAAGATATTTAAGATCTAAAAATGATTTAAAAGTTGTTTAATCTAAAGAAAGATGAATTGTTCTTTGTTTCAAGTTCTTATGCATGTTTTAGGGTTTTAAATATGAATTTTTATGCACATAATCATATATTATATATTATGTTGCTCCCAGAAGTTTTTATCTACTGTTGACATGTTTCCATGCAAGATTCATATTGTTTTAATCATGTTTGAATCACCTAAACACGGTGTGAACACAACACACAACCGGATAAACTGTTCCTCAATACTCCAAAGAGTACAAGAGTATAAACTGTTCCTCAATACTCCAAAGAGTACAAGAGTATAAACTGTTCCTCAATACTCCAAAGAGTACAAGAGTATAAACTGTTCCTCAATACTCCAAAGAGTACAAGAGTATAAACTGTTCCTCAATACTCCAAAGAGTACAAGAGTATAAACTGTTCCTCAATACTCCAAAGAGTACAAGAGTATAAACTGTTCCTCAATACTCCAAAGAGTACAAGAGTATAAACTGTTCCTCAATACTCCAAAGAGTACAAGAGTATAAACTGTTCCTCAATACTCCAAAGAGTACAAGAGTATAAACTGTTCCTCAATACTCCAAAGAGTACAAGAGTATAAACTGTTCCTCAATACTCCAAAGAGTACAAGAGTATAAACTGTTCCTCAATACTCCAAAGAGTACAAGAGTATAAACTGTTCCTCAATACTCCAAAGAGTACAAGAGTATAAACTGTTCCTCAATACTCCAAAGAGTACAAGAGTATAAACTGTTCCTCAATACTCCAAAGAGTACAAGAGTATAAACTGTTCCTCAATACTCCAAAGAGTACAAGAGTATAAACTGTTCCTCAATACTCCAAAGAGTACAAGAGTATAAACTGTTCCTCAATACTCCAAAGAGTACAAGAGTATAAACTGTTCCTCAATACTCCAAAGAGTACAAGAGTATAAACTGTTCCTCAATACTCCAAAGAGTACAAGAGTATAAACTGTTCCTCAATACTCCAAAGAGTACAAGAGTATAAACTGTTCCTCAATACTCCAAAGAGTACAAGAGTATAAACTGTTCCTCAATACTCCAAAGAGTACAAGAGTATAAACTGTTCCTCAATACTCCAAAGAGTACAAGAGTATAAACTGTTCCTCAATACTCCAAAGAGTACAAGAGTATAAACTGTTCCTCAATACTCCAAAGAGTACAAGAGTATAAACTGTTCCTCAATACTCCAAAGAGTACAAGAGTATAAACTGTTCCTCAATACTCCAAAGAGTACAAGAGTATAAACTGTTCCTCAATACTCCAAAGAGTACAAGAGTATAAACTGTTTCTCGATACTCCGATAAGTATAAGAGTATAAACTGCTTCTCACTCCAAAGAGTATACGAGTATAAACTGTTTCTCATTCCTCCTACCGGTATATGAGGTTAAACTGCTCCCTGATACTCCAACAGGTATATGAGTCTAAACTATTTCCCACCATTGACGGGAAGTTCCTGGAGGATATTACGCTAATATTCTTAAGGATAACCCGGTCGGACAACCAAGTCAAACCCAGTTCCAAGAGAGAAACTGGGGGTGGATTATCCAATGCATCGGGAAGTTCCCGAAAGAATACCACAGGGGTATTCTTAGGGATAACCCGGTCTTTGTGGAATTGACGAAGGAGAAATCTACATTCGAACCCTGAAGGTCAGAATGTCTCTTCTTATTCTCTAACTCTTATGAGTTATTTTTGTGAGAAGAGATCCAATCTTCTGGTAGGTTAATCTTTCCTCACCAAACCATCCGCTGATCAAATCAAACGACAGTGGATCCACCAACATTTCCATTTGCCCGTCATTGGCATTTTGCAGACTTAACGTGCTAGGTCCTGAACGCCTAGCATTCAAAGTCTCCCTGTGAGTGATAATACGAGTTGGCATTCTCTTTGCTACCTGTATTCCACTTTCTGTGTTTTCTGGTCAAACCTGTAAAAGTTAGGGCCAAAGCCAAAATCCCCTCTCGATTCCCCCAATGAACGAGAGGTCCACCTTCAAATCGAGCGATCAAACCTTCTGACAGTTAGGATCGTCTCAAACTCCTGCTTGGTCAAACCTTCATACAGTTAGGACCACAGTCAAAATCCCCTCTCGATTCTCCCAACGAACGAGAGGTCCACTTTCAAAATCGAGTGATCAAACCTTCCGACAGTTAGGATCATCTCAAACTCCTGCTTGGTCAAACCTTCCTACAGTTAGGACCAAAATCACAATTCACTAAACGAGAAATTCATCTTTGGTTCAGTAACCAAACCTTCCGACAGTTAGGGTTATCCGAATCTTTTCGATTCTCGGAGTGGAGATCCCACTCCTAGTTTCACCATTCTGGATTCTGGGGGTGGAGATCCCACCCCAAGTCTCCTTTCCGGCCGAAGATAGAATATAAAATTCTTCCTCTTCAGCACCGGGAGATAGAATATAAAATTCTTCCTCTCCCGTTTCTCAATCTGTCTTTGCTTTTAGAAAAGACACGATTGTCAAATCCGGGCACTCGATGCACGGGGAATTTTATCCCGAAGCCTGAGTAGGGATAAGTCAACGCCTAACACGCGTTGCCGGGTAGTCTATTCCCGTAAGAAAGACGAAGTCTATGTATTCAAAATCATAGCATTAAGTCTAAGGGAAGTAATTCTCTTAGCGCAACGTTATATGTGAAACGGGTTTTAATAATTCACATGCTAGCCCGATTCAAACGGTAATCGGTAAAGGCACATCAAACCCGTTGATGGCTGGGGGTTTGCCAAAAATCCCAAAGCCTACGTCTAACACGCGTTGCCGGTTAGTCTTTGACCGTAAAAAAGGACAAAAGACCACATATTCAACATTGTGGCAGGATGTTATTGATAACACCGTAATCCGTGCCTCACACGCACGGGGAATTTTATCCTGAATCCTAAGTAAGGATAAGTCAACACCTAACCCGTGTTGCCGGGTAGCCTATTCCCGTAACAATAGCAAAGCCTATGTATTCAACATCATAGCACAAAGTCTAAGAGAATTCACTCTCTTAGCACAACGTTACATGCGGAACGGATTTCGTCAATCCGCATGCTAGCCCGACTCAAACGGTAGTCGGTAAAGGCTAATCAAATCCGTTGAAGGCTGGGGATTAGCCAAAAATCCTAAAGACAACGCCTAACACGCGTCGCCGGGTAGTCTATTCCCGTGAGAAAGACGAAGTCTACGTATTCAATATCGTAGCACTAAGAGCGTTAACTCTCTTAGCACAACAAAGTCAACGCCTAATACACGTTGCCGGGTAGTCTATTCCCGTGAGAAAGACGAAGTCTACGTATTCAATATCGTAGCACTAAAAGAGTTAACTCTTTTAGCATAACGTTACATGCGGAACGGACTTAAACAATCCGCATGCTAGCCCGACTCAAACGGTAGTCGGTAAAGGCTCATCAAACCCGTTGAAGGCTGGGGGTTTGCCAAAAATCCCACAAGTATTATGGTTGATTATTCCATACGTAGTGGTTGATTATTCCATACGGAGTAAGACATCATAATAAATGAGACATAATGAATGAAAAAAAGACATATTTTCTATTAATAAAATTGAGTTTGCAGGTACAAGAGTTACAATCAATCTACATGAAGTTTGTGACTACAGGCTTGCTGTTCAAGTTTAGTCAATTCCTCTGTATAAGTTCGCTCAAGCTCACACTGCAATGCAACCTTGAAGGATTCCTCGGTGAGGGATAATGTTTTCGCAGCCTCTTGTTGGATCTTGGCTAACTTCTGTTTCGAGAGCTCCAATTTTCCGGATATCACAACTCGTGAACGCTCCAAGTCACCCTTCGCCATCCCCAAGATAGCCAAGGCCTCCATTTGATCCACCCGACTTTGTTGCGTTTGAATCTCAAGTCCAGCCGAAGCCCGAGTGTCGTGCCATGCTTGTAGACGAGATTCCATCCAAATGGCTGTGTACGTTGAGCTACCAGCAGTCTTCAACTCTTGTAACCGTCGGAATTCGCGCTCCAGCCGGTCCAAAGCGTCGACATAGCTAATCTGCAATAAAGATCAACAGCTCAGTCAGATCAAGAATCGAGATACATAAATCGAAAGACTAAAAGGGAAATTGCGAATCTTTAATTGAAATTCTATAAAATGGAATTTTCCAATTAAAGGTCTAATTAAACCTATACGACATTCTCGGTTCAATTTAAAGGAAGATCAAATATATAAGCCAAGCAAATCAAGCGCCTCTTGCATAGTTCACATGCGCAATTGAGCATGAAAATCCAAGGGAAAATCAAGTTAAGTGTCGCGGAGTCAAATATAAGGCCTCGATCATATCAACATGTGGATTCACAAGTTCAACCATATGCAAGGGTTCAATCACATGTACAAATTCAAGGCATATAAAGCTCTCGACTATATACAAGTTTGAATTCAAAGTTTGAGTTCAAGGCATATGCAAGAATTCAATCGTGCAAAGATCCGGCCATATATAAGAGTGAATTCGAAGCATACAAGAAATTTTCGACCACATACGAGTTCGGATCCAAGTCATGCACAAATTCAATTATATACAAGAATTCAGTTATATATGAATTCAACAATACAAAAGCTCGGCCATATTCAAGTTCGAGTTCAAGCCAAAGTTCCGCCTCAACGATGCATGAATTCAAGAATAGAGCTCAACAAAATTTTCGGTCATATACAAGCTGTCAGTAAACATCAGCCATGAAGAAGAATTTGGTCACGAATGAATTCAGATCCACAACCTAGAGTCAAGCTCAAACAATTCTCAACAAACCGAATATCTTCGACTGTACCCAAAACAGAACATGCAAGTCTAGTTCTTAAACCGAAGGTTCATATCATGTCCAAAGTCGAAGTTAAACAAGACAGAGCCTCGGTCATGACCAAATTCAAGCTTTCAGCTTCGAATCATCCCGTATACAAGTGTTCAGACAACAGACTGAAAAGAATTTTAGCCATGCCTACATGCAAAGTTATGAGTCAGATTAACAACTCCCGAATCAAATGCGGAAATTTCAGCCATGATTCAAAACACAAGATCAGACAGTTCAATGAAAGAGTTCAGTTCGAATTTCAGTCAATACTTGAGTGCAAGTTCAAGTCATCATTCAAAAGTTCAACAAAATTTCGGCCCCCAAATTTCAGCCAACACAAGCCATGCTCACACGAGCAACCCAAATTTCGGCCACCATCAACCCTCAAAATCCAAGAAATTTCGGTTTTTTCCCTGAGATTAAAGAGTGGGGACTGCAGATATCAAGCCATGAACACAATCAAACTCAAAAATCGGCCATCATTCAAAGCTCAAGTTTAAGTTTCGGTTTTCCCCAAAATTCAAGAACTAGGGCTTCGATTTTTAGGTCAAAATTCAAAAAAAAATCAGCCATGAATCAAGCATCCAAATATGAAGAATGGATAAATTGAAGCAAAGAGGGAGGAACTCACCTGGAACTCAAGAGGGGGATGAACTGTGTGCAAACCCGAATGGCCAATGTCCGGTTTTCGAACCCTAGCTGGCCTTACTCCTAGATTTAAGGGAGTTGAGGGGTTTAAAGAAGGAGAGGATGAAAGATTTAAAGGGCTTGGGGAGTTCTAACCTGGTTCGAATTCTTGAAGTGGGGGAGTTCTCAAAAGACCGGAGCTTGGGAAAGAGAAGAAGCCGAAAATTTAAAGAAGGGGGAGGAGCTGGGACCGAATTTGAAGGAGGAAGAGAACAAAATCGGGATTTTTTCTTTTGACCCCTCTCCGACCCGCGTTCCGCGGGTCGGATGTGTGTCCGACCCGCGTGCTCACGGGTCGGATTAATCCGACCCGCGATCACGCGGGTCGGATCCATCTGACCCACGTGAACGCGGGTCAGACCCGGTTTAAGGGTCGGATCTATCTGACCCGCGTGAACGCGGGTCAGACCCAGTTCAGGCCCGTTTTGCTATATTTCCCGACTGATTTCGTCCGTTTTCGAAATTTTCGAAGCTCAACCTCATCTCCCGGACAATTTCACGGTACCTTCGCTCATATTTGGAATGTTCAGAGTTCAATTTCATCTCCCGGATAATTTGGCGGCATTTTCACTCAGATGGGGAATTTTCGGAGTTCAATTCCGTTTCCCAAATAATTTCGAGATATTTTCGTCTATTTTCAGAATATTCGAGACCCAATTTTATATTTTGGGTGATTTCGTGATTTTTCACCTATTTCGGAATATTCGGGACCCAATTTTATATTTTGGGTGATTTCGCGATATTTTCGCCTTTTATCGGAATACTCGATATCCAAACTCCAATTGGCGACCACGAGTCTAAACTGTTTCCCACTTTTGACGGGAAGTTCCTGGAGAATATTATGTGTAATAAATTCTTAAGGATAACCTATCAAACTCCAACGGGTACATGAGTCTAAACTGTTTCCCGTTTTGACAGGAAGTTCCTAGAGAATATTATAGATAATAATTCTTAAGGATAACCTGGCAACCTCCGGCGGGTACACGAGGTTAAACTGATTCCCGAAACTCCCAGGAGTACACGAGTATAAACTGGTTCTCCTCAGGTTAACGCGAAACCCTAAGGTCAACGCCGGTCAACGCGTAGCCCTAGGTCAACGCCAGTCAACGCGTTGCGATGAAAGTCAACGTCGATCGATTCGAAACCCTAAGGTCAACGCCGGTCAACGCGTAGCCCTAGGTCAACGCCAGTCAACACGTTGCAATTGATCCAAAAAATCCACTCACCAATTCCGGTTCAAGGCTTCAATAACGGTCAGGCGATAAACGCAGTACCGAGAAGATCTTAGCTATTCGACAAAATACAGAATACGCTAAAATATGGAGAAGTCAAGAATCGAAACCATCTGTAGGTCCTTTAACACCGACTGAAGGCGGGAATCCATCATATCCAAAGCATTTCAGACTCCTCTATAAAAGAATGAGGCTGAAACACTTTGGAGGGGGTATCTGTAGGCGTCTAAAATTGCCTATGAGAGCCCGCACGAAACTCGAAGCAATGAATAGGAGAGTCAAGAAAATTCGCTAATCAGTCAGCGCACGTTAAATCATCTCGTGCGCGTCGGTCAGCTCGTGCGCGTCGGTCAACACACGCACGTCGATCACTCAACGCGTATCGATCAACAAGCAACGCGCGTTCGACGATCGGTCTCGCGGCGAAGCATACAAGTCAACAAATCGACCAAATACGCGAAAAGAACAAGTCTCGGAAGAAAGAGAACATAAAAGGAAAAAGTTGACAAAACTGCGCGAACGCAGGACGGAACAAACCGACCCGCGCAAGCGCGGGTCGGATCAGTCCGACCCGCGCAAGCGCAGGTCGGATTGGTTCGACCCGCAACTTTGCGGGACGGACCAATCCGACCAGCAATTGTGCGGGTCGGATTGGTCCGACCCGCAACTTTGCGGGACGGACCAATCCGACCCGCAATTGTGCGGGTCGGATTGGTCCGACCCGCGCAAGCGCGGGTCGGATTGGTCCGACCCGCGCAAGCGCAGGTCGGACTGGTCCGACCCGCGCAAGCGCAGTACGGAACCTGAAATGCGTTTTGACGGTTTTTATGCTGTTTTGCAGGATTTATCTGTTCCAGGGGTTTCTAACTGACCTGATATCATCCCCAAACGTGGTTAGGCTGTTGTTAACTGAAGATAGAGCCAAATCACTTGTTCTCATCCAAATAACCGCTTCTGAAGCTTATAAATACGAGCTCGGGTCTCCTTTCAGCGGGGGCGATTGATTATCAAGACGAGGAGGTGCTGCCGGATTGTGGAGTCAAAGGAGCACGAATTTCAGCGAGGGTTGACAGATCTTGGCGAGTTCTTCGGCATAAAGAAGGAGAGTTCGAGAGATCCGACACCCATTCCCGTCCGTCCCTTGAGATTAGGCTTGGTCTTAATCTCGAGAAGAGCCCTGATTTCGCTTGGTCGATCTCAGCGCTTCAAATCAAATACTTCCTCGGCGAAGGCGAAGCTCTGCCGAATTTTCCATCAACCGGATCCAGATCTAAGGCGGTCCACGGATAAACCCCGGCACAGGCAAAGATCCCACGCAAGCAGAAGACCGATAAACGATCTCTGCGTTTGTTTTGACGAGAGTTGTAAACTTTTGTTTTCATTGTGTAAAAGTCTTATAAAAAGACAATCTTTTTTTGTTTTCATTGTAACGATTGAAGTTGTAATGAATACCGCAATGAATACATCAATTTTCGACGCAAACAAACTGGCGACCACAGTGGGAGCCAACAGCTTCGCTGCCGGAGCTGTCGTGTCGCAACCTCGGATCTGCATCCCGGTTGAAGAAGTGGTCGAATACGAGTTCGACCAACTGAAGTTCGAGGAATATCTGTCGTCCTCCTCCTCCAGATCCTCCGCCTCTCGCAAGCGAAGGAAGATCAACGCCCCCGTTGTTGCGGTAGCTGAACCTTACAACGCCCTTCCGGCCTCCAATGAGTCCGGATCTGCAGATCTGAACTCCTCCTCAATCAAGGAGTTGAGTACAGAAGGCGCGCCTATTTTATCAAAGAGAACTCGTCAAAGGCAGCGCCAACGCTGTGCGCGCCAACTCGCTAGAGCATTAAAGTCAATTGACGGGATCCGTTACGAGGCGGATCTGAAAATTAGGCAACGCCAAGCACCCCAACAGCGGACAGATGTCCTCCCCTCCAAACCAATAGCAAATGAATGGATCCAAATCAAAAAGATCCGTTCAACTCTGGAGGAGCGAATTCAAAAGCGCCGCGCGCTTGCGCGCACGCGAATTCTTGTGCAAAAAGCACAAAAGATGCAGAAGAAGGACATAGCTAAGAAACAACCAAGACTGCATCAAACTTGGAGGCCAAAATCCAAAACGGCGGCCGAAAAGATCGAGAATCGCGGGTCACTTGAATCCGACCCGCCGGCGCGCGGGTCACTTCAATCCGACCCGC